TTGCTGCCTAGCCTTACCTGGTTGCTTTTCAACAAGGTTTTAGAGTCATTCTTCTAATACAACAGTAAACGATTTATCCAATAACCTATTGTAAAAATGTTGACAATATGACCACTCCTACTTCTTCCAGCTTTAAAATTACTTAAGATGTCGAAATCAAAGAGGACTTCAAGCTTCATGTAGACATGTACCTCCAGAAGAGGTAATAAACCTAATAGAAAACATTACTGAGAAGGATACATACCACAAGAAAATATACTAATTCCCATTGCTAGATGCTCAATTCCTCTTTACAAGGGGCACAGAAACCTAATTTGAAATGGTACACTGCATCCAAGGAAACTGGCACTAAACACTCAAGTATGGTGAGCTCCACAATAACTGTGTCCTTGTACAATCAGAGACTAGGAGGCTGCATAGTTAAGCTTGTACTATATCAAAGTACTAAGCAGTACTTGCTTATCTGTAACTTCTTACAGTTTTACCCTCACCTGGATTTGTCTAACGCTTTTTAAGCAAATCTTAAACATACCTATTTAGTATTTTTCTCCCTACCACACGATCAAAGAAGGTCTGCTGTTATTCCAGCTCAGTGAGTTTGTCATATTAATGCAATAAAATATATTCTTTGGGAATACACGGTTTTCCTAAGGAAGGCATTTCTGCCACAATGAGCTGTATAATTTTAAACCAGCAGAAGTCTTTGGTGTGGGATGAGGTATCTGAGCATAAACATTAACCACATAGTTGACAAATATTTATTGCAAACACAGAGTTATGTTAAATGAACGCTACGTGATAAAACAGTACTGTAGATTTCATTGCAAATGTTTAATTGACACAGAAACCACAAAGAAGCAGCAGCTGATAAAGGAGAAGCACTATGGAGCACAGTTTAGGCAATGCTACATGGAAGAAGTTATAAATAAAGCAAAGCATGCTTGCCTACTTCTGTTCATATTTTAACCATTAAGAGTAGTAACCTTGTAAAGCCATCTTTATCTTGCATTAGTTATTAAAACTCCAAACCACATTACAACAACAAATCACAACACATACTAATGCTGGTGCTCCTTCTTCCTTTGAAAAACACGAACACCAAGGAGGACAGCAAGCGTTAAAGAGCAATACAGCCAAAGAAGGCTAGGGTGTCAACAGCTGTAGAGCAAGGCACTGCTTTGGTTCAACAGCTGTTTGTCTCTCACACATAAACAAATACCAAAAAACCAGCTGAAGCTAGCAGACCAAATCAGACTGCAAATGAACTCCTTCAGCCTGCCACAGTGCACCTTCCCATTCTGTTCTGGGCTGTTGCAGCGCTGTAGAAGGCAACGCAGCTGCTCCTCATCCCTTTTAACAGCAAAAGCTACCACCTAAGTTTTTACAACTGCAGTCCTACAAGGAATACCCCCTGGACTCATGTGGATGACTTAACAACAGAACATTTTACCCTTTGTAGAGCTAACCAGGAAGGCGTGGCTGTGCTTCTTTCTCTAACCCACCTTACTGGGCTGGCATGAATTACCTTATCTCTGGACAAGGTTGCGGCTGGTCTGCAACTCCAGAACAGAACAAGACCCTTTCACTACCCCAGTCCTGGGCGGCTGAAGCTTGACGGAGCAGAAGGGCTTCACACATCTCATCTCTGGCCCACCAAAGGCTGGCTTGCAGAAGAAGTATTTTGTAGCGTGACCCATACTATTTTAAGTATGACAAATGTGATGATGTGGAACATGTGTACACTCCACACTCTTCAGCTACTGTACATGTGAAAAGGCATTTGCAGGAAGCGCATTCTCTAAGCAGCACTATGAAACAAATCTAACACCTTGCTTGTTCCTCCCCATTCACAGCTTATGAGCAGACTGCAAGCTGAGAGGCAGGGAAATACAACTGCATTGCTTTGCAGATACAGGTAACAAAGATGGATGCTCCAACTCCATAGGTGTGTACTTTCTTGAATGACACAGCCAAAAAAACCCCAAACCTAAGTCACACTGTTCCCAGAAACAAATGCATTTCAGGTATTATATATATATATTTCACTTTTAAAATAGACAGCAAAAATTGATAAGACTTCATATTTGATTTGCTTGCACTGAAAACCTGCTCTTCCTTGTTTCTTCCTAAAGCACAGCACCAAGCAGCGACACTTTAGTCAAATATGTGACATGGCAGTTGACAGAGCTTTCTCCAAGGGAAATTCAGAGACTCTGGAATTTGTTCACACAGCATTCATCTGAGATATTCAAAACAATTACTTTTTTGGCTGGCCACAAAAGAGATCAATTTGACAGAATTATGGAAAAAGCTGAGCATGAACTCTCAAGCTGGCAGGTAACAAGCTATCCCTTTCACAGGAAACAGATTTTAACTATGCCAGGGTTTAAATCATGTTTTATAAATAAGTTAAAAATGAAGCAATGGCTCTAGGCACCTTTATTTTTGAGTATAAAGTAATTTCAGTTCCCCCTAAAGTTACAAAAATAAAATAGTGCCCAAAATACTGTAGTGAAATGAAGCTCAAATGTTCTACAGTAAAGAAATAATATTGTATGGTATATTACTATTTTGCTGATAACAATTATGCAGCATTATTAACATATTCTAAACTAATCTCCACATAATCTGCACCTGGAAGCATCATAACCTCACTGGATAAATGGGGCTTCTCCCATCAGGGTTCAATAAAGATTTAAGGAAAAGGAAGTACTTTCCACACGATTTAGTCAGTATGGGCACTTGGCCCTTTTCAAAATTAAGATTATCGAGAAGAACCTTCAACTTTTTTTCACCCTTTATGTTGTCTGGCTATGCTTTTTTTGTTAAAAGAAAAGATGACCTAGAATAGTTTCATCTTCTTCCTAAAGTACAGATGACTAAATCAGCCAGCTATGCAAAAGCAATAAACATATTCACAATGACTAGCAAAGGAATGATATATTATCTTCAGATACCAGTAAGAAACAGAATCCTTCACATTAATTCAATGCAGCTTCTAAAGTCAGATAAAGGTCAGATCCACTTAAGATTTCTTTCTTCAGAGAAATTATGCAAGGCGTTTTTCCTCACAAAAGCTCTGTGACAAGTAAAACTACAATAAATTCAAGCTATTCTGTATTCAATTGCTCAGCCCCTTTAAATCTCATACTGACGTCCTGCTTCCTAAAGCAGTCAGGGGAATGAGGAAAGACTAGACAACTACAGACCTGACTTTTCAAAGAACAGACAAGCCTTGTAATGAAATGTACTACCTGTGGGGGAAAGTAAGAATACATGGGAAATAACTGAGGGAATCAGAGCAGCATTATGCAAATATTTGTAAATAAGTATTTTTCCTATGTTTCTATTCATATTTACCCAGCTAGGATTTTTTTGCATAAGATTTACTCATTCCATGCTTTCCTTAATTTTTCTTCATTTTAACACTTTTTTTAAAAAAAATACATTCTCTAACCATATTAGGAAACTTGAACCTTCTTAAGATTCCACCTTATTTGGATTATCACGCAATTTGTTTAAAATGATCCCAAAGCAATCACATATGGTGAGATATTCTTTATGACTAAGCAGAAGTCATCTGGCTTTTCTCTCCCTTTTTATCAGGTGTTTAGTGGTAAGAGATATTCACTGGTATGAGCTACACTTCTCTAATTGCCTACTCCTTCTTGAAGGAATTACTAATTAAGCAGACACTTTGTAAACCTTGTATACCACTACATGGAGAACAATATCCAGGTAATGAACTGCAGAAGAACATGGTAAACCACTCCTTCATTCAGCAGCTGAACCTTTCTGGGACACATGACCTCAACAGCCTTGCAAGTCAGCCACAGAAGCATTTTCTCCTGTTGCTAATAAGTCACACTTTTCAGACTAAACCAGCCAATATTTTGATGTGAGGCACGGGAGGGTTTCCTGCACTAGAGGACTCACAGCTTTATGTGTCTGTGTGCAGCCTTGCAACGCACAGGCCTCAGGTCCTTCACTGCGGTGACCCAGACACTCAGCAAGACATTTTAGCATGGATAATGTTTCACTGCTGCTCATCTCCTGACCCACCACTATGCAGTCTGCTGCTTACAGCTCGCAGCCTTTCCCTTATGGGCAGCTGGAGGAGGCCATGGAGGCCAGTGCAGAATCACAGGGTGCCTGTGCACAGGCTCCAGCTGCCCACAGCTGGCTGCCACAGCCTCCCTCAGCTTTTGAGGGAACCCTGCTGTGCCCTGTGCTGGTTTTGGCTGGGAAGGAGTTAATTTTCTTCATAGTAGCTCGTATGGGGCTATGTTTCGGATTTGTGCTGAAAACAGCGTTGGTAACACAGGGATGTTTCAGTTACTGCTGAGCAGTGATTAGACAGAGCCAAGGCCCTTTCTGCTACTCACATCACCCCACCTGTGAGTGGGCTGGGGGTGCACAAGGAGTTGGGAGGGAACACAGCTGGGACAGCTGACCCCAACTGACCAAAGGGATCCCCCACACCATATGACATCATGCTCAGCTATATAAGCCACCTCAAAACAGTACTAAACATACACCTCTAGCAACTCAAGAATATAGATTCAACACATCAAAATACATTCTAACAGAGGACTCAACCTGAAATAATCCTGTGCTTGTTGACAACATCGTAATTTGTTTCCCAAAAGCCTGCAACTATTTGCAAACACAATGTTTCAGATTTTCCAGTCTGAAAGCCCAAATCCATATCAGACTATTTGCATATGATGCTTGAATTACTGGGTAGAAAATGGTAGATATAGCTTATTGCTGAACAGTAAGCTGACTTCAAACTGGTTTGCAGAAGGTAGCAGGAGCCACTTTTTGCTTGTAGAGAGTCAAACTTGGCTATCTGTACCTTTGCCTTTTGTCCTCTGAATGTTACAATTCTCAAATAAGCACTTTTTATATGCCTGCAAGCTTCTTCAAATACTGCCTGCCTCTTGAAATACTGCTTTATTTTCCCTGTTTCTGTAGGCTCTGGCAAAAGGCTCTTGGCCTCAAGTGCTTTCAGGTAATCTTATTCGAAGAACAGCAAAAGCACAAAGAAATCCATCCAGCAATGTCCCAAGACACTAAACATGCAAAAGCATTATAGAGGAAAAAACTTACACTCTGGTAGAGCAGCTATAGCACTACACCAGAAATCCTGGAGCACATACAGTGTCGTGGTGACGAGTGTAGAGCTGGATACACAAGTCCTGGCTCCCCCAGTGGAAAGGTCGCCTTTCCAACAGGGTGTATTCAGAGCCACATGTGCCCACTGACTCTGTCAGCAAGGAAAATCAAGTGGCAAGGGCTGGTTGGTACAAGATTCAGCTTGAAGCATAGCACTTGCTTCCACACGACCCTGAGGCCAGCAATGCTTCTCCTGAGCTAGAAACCTGATCACGGATGGGGCTCTCACTGCCCAGGCACGACAATGCTCCTTGAATCGAGCAGTATAACCCCACAGCCTGGTAAAGTAACACTCCTTACTAGAAAATTGTTAACTCTTCACTCTGAAGTCATGCACAAACCAAACGCAGATTACCCTGAAAACAAAACTTGCTTCGTGATTAAACTACCGCATTAGCTATGGCATATCCCATGTTTTTTAAACTTCCCAGAACTGTAAGATATGGGATGGGTTGCTTTATGCCTCTCTGGTCAAAATTACCAGTCTTTATAGTCTCCTGTTTTGTGGCATTAATAGCATATTTTTGGTTTATAAGTTAACACACAATATAAAAAAAAAGTTTGATTTACTGAGATCCAGTCTAAAAAAAAACAACCCAACCTCCCAGTATTTTACTTTAATGGCATCCAAAAATACCAAAGTGACTGAAGCGCAAAGGACAATGTGAATCAATATTTTAAGTACTATTAACAAACATACCAGATGCACAGGACTAAGGTCCTATTGCCAGGCGGGAATTGCAACTGGATAAAAATTAACTTACCAATAAAAGCATAGAATTTATTGCCTTGTCTTTGGCACCAAAATACCATTTAAGGGTATTACCCTTATGATTCATGCCAGACTAGTAAAATGATGTTGGCTTATAATCACATAAATCAGCAGAGCTATGTTGACTTCTTCTGATATACCCCTTTTTTTCAAGACCTGAAGACATGCCAAAACTAATTTTGGTTTGCTCTTGTAATTTATTTTGCTGAAATAAATCTCAGCAAGACCACAACTTATTTTACAGCGTTGGGTGTGATTTCCTTTTTCTAGATGTTCACGTTATACAAGGACAAGCATTACTTACAGATTGCCAAGCAAGAGACTCCATAATTCGATGTTCACAGCGTTCTAGATGCTTTATCATTTCCCTTGTTAGGCTTGGCTCCGCTTTAATAAAACTCTCAATCACCTTGTAGAAGTCAAAAGCTTTTAAATCAAATACATTGAGAATCCATGGGAAAGACAAGTCTGTTTCAGCACTGGTACCATCACTTTGTGAAGCATTTCCTGCAGGGAAGACGGACTAGTATTATCAAGAGTACTACATCCTTTCACTTCGGACGTTTTCCTTTTTGTATTTATTGAATTATTGCTAGTTCAGAAATTTCTGGGAACACTTTTTTTTTTTGCTATGACTATATTTTATGTATTAGAACAAATGGCAATAATTATCAATAAATAACAATGCTATTTAGCACTTTAGATTCAACTTACTGCCATATGTAGCCATGACAACCTCAACAGCACATGCCAGAAGAGATGTGTGGAAGATGTTATCATTCAGAAGTTTGCTAAGGAAAAAGAAAGTTATTAATACTTGTCCTAACGCTAAAACAGCAGACTTTGATAACAAGTTAGGGGCACGTACCTGAAATTCTGCACTGAGAGGCGCTCTTCCTCCTGAAATATATAAATCAAACCAAACTTGTGAATATTCTTAGTATTTGTAAATGCAATGCCAGTACTAAGCTACCAGTACTAAACTTACCGACTTTAGCATAGACTCCATTACTCTGTAATACAGACGTACTCCAAGCTTATATCTCTGTTAAAAAACAGAAGAAGTTCAAGAATATTACAAGAAGTTTTAACAGACTACAACAGGCAGACTCTCATGTTTTAATGACTCAGGACACTTCCATGTTTTGGAAGAGCCGCCGTGAAGAAGTCATTGTCCCCAGCTCCATTTACCAATACTACCAGAGCAGCCTCAAGGGTTTGTGCCAACCGCAACCACGTGAAGACAGATTAATCAAGTTTAGGTTGATTCACAGCTAACAGAACAAAAACCAGTGCTGACAGACAGGTGACTGTTGAGTACAAACTTGGTTGGATTTGCTTTCCAAAATCCTTGTAGAAAGCACAGCTGGCCTACTGATTTTGTAAGGAAGTGAGTCACCTTGTGCCATTTTAGGCTGTTACCTTAATGAATGCAAATACATGTTTCACTAAATGTATTTAGCCCAGCAATTTTCCCATTCTTGATGAAAGTATTTCCAGCATATTTACACCTAGTTCGTATTGCTCCTTATATATTAAGAATAATTTGTTAAATACCATCTTTACAGAGCTTTAGAAAAAAATACATGTCTATTTCTCAAGTTGAAAACAGTATTATTACTTTTTACCATTATTGATCTGCACTGAAGAAGGACAATCAGTAAGTCAGGTCTCATGTTAGCTAGTACCAGAGTTCAAACAAGTAATACTCAATCAAAACGCTAGTTACCTGAGAGCCGATTTCAGCACATCCCTGTCCAACTGCTTCAGCAAATTTCTTTTTGAAGATGTGACCAAGGCTTTCCACTCTTTTCAGGATACTCTCCTTAGGATTCACTGTACAATTCTAATAAAGTACAGGAAGGAGGGCAGTGGAAGGAAAGGCAAAGAAAGGACATTTTACTTCAAAAGCATTTGAAAGATTTAATCACATTAGCTCTGCTTCACTTTGTAACTTCTCTCAATCAGCTCATCAGCATAAATAAAAGTGGAGTATTTAAAAACACAGAATCATCGTATATGTTCGACAATTTCCAGTAACTACAATTTCATGTCTTACATGCAACTAGCTGCAACTAACGCAGCTAATATGTGAGTAGTACCTCTGACATTAATGTCTTTAAAATTAGAAATATGCTTAAGATGCTCAACGGGGACACAAGATCCTCTGTGAGTACATCCTCCTTCTTTTCTTTGGCTCCCTTTTATATCCCCTTCTTTTCCCATCTGACACATACATAAACAAACGTTAGTATTTAGTGCAGCAACAAAAAAATTTGAGAACTTCCAAGGTTCCAGTACACATTAGTTAGACAGAAGTGCTTTCTAAAATGATTAATCACATTTAAACCATTCCAATTAAAATGTACTTCTTAAAAAATGGTCATTGATAAAGGAGTTCCCAAAACAAATGTGTCAGATCTCTATCTGTACATTTTATTTGAGTGATAACTCCAAGAATCTTTCACAAATCTTCCTTCTAGTCACTTACATTGAAATACATGATGAGAGTATCTGAAGGTTTATCAGTTGCTGAGTTTAAAATCATAATCAATTGCTGAATGTTATTCATTGCAGCTCTGGAAAAATACAATAAAATGCACAATAAACACTAAGGCTGGCTTGACAGTTTCCAGAAACTGAACAACAATTCTATCAAAAAAAAAAAACCCCAAAAAACAACCCAACAAAAATCCCCACAAAACTATGATTTTTTTTCTTAACTCAGTTATCAAACAACCTGCTGGGAAAAACTGTTGTACTGTGTTAACCATTATGAATTTTAATAATCCAACTCATCTAATCATCTAATTATTAGAATTATTATAATCCATAAGTGAACAACCAAAAGAACATAAATTTAGCAATAAACACTAACAAGCACTTTGAAAAGCAATAAAATGGTGGAATTGCAATCCTTGTATGTAAAAATAGTCAGCTAAATGAAGCAACTCCGTAACAAAAAAAATACTTTGGCTTTTGTACAAAAATAATACAAAAGATTGGTGAATGAAGACAGCTTTTATGTTTCAAGTCACCTGTTCACAAGTGTAACAAGTAAGATGTATGAAAATTTGGTAGTCACAAGAAAATACAGCCTTTTTAACACAGATGCTTTGAAAACCACACATTTTTCAGAGGCAGAGCTGTCAACATTCCTACTGGCAACAGTATGAGAATACAGAATTTTCTCCCTCCCTGGATCTGAACCCAAAAGTCACATTAAAATTTAAATTCTTACTTAACTCCAATTCCTTCTATTTCCAACAGAAAAGCTACAATTTCTGTAATCCTTTTTCTACCTGCTGTATCCATAGCCAGGTTAGAAGGATCTTAAATATAAAATCTTCTAAACTTTTAAAGTATTATGGGTGGTGAGAAAGATGTGGATATTAAGGAAATTTTTCAGTTCCAAAGATATACAAACAACACCTTCTTAAGAAGTAGAACAAAAATTCTTTATTGCCTAGATGAAAACTAGATAAAAAATACGAGAAACATTTTATTATCCGGGGACTAGTACTGTTTAATATCTTCATCAATGACATAGACAGTGGCACTGAGTGCGCCCTCAGCAACTCTGCTGATGACACCAAGCTGGGTGATGCAGTGGATATGCCAGAGGGACGGGATGCCATCCAGAGGGACCTGGACAAGCTTGAGAAGTGGGCCCTTGTGAACCTCATGAGGTTCAATGAGGCCAAGTGCAAGGTCCTGCACATGGGCTGGGGCAACCCGTGGTATCAATACAGGCTGGGGGGATGAAGGGATTGAGAGCAGCCTTGCTGAGAAGGACTTGGGGGTGTTGGTGGACAAAAAGCTGGACATGAGCTGGCAATGTGTGCTTGGAGCCCAAAAAGCCAACCGTGTCCTGGGCTGCATCAAAAGCAGTGTGGCCAGCAGGTCGAGTGAGGGGATTCTGCCCCTCTACTCTGCTCTGCTAAGACTCCACCTGCAGTGCTGTGTCCAGCTCTGGAGTCTTCAGTACTGCGAAGACATGATGAGGGCCACAAAAACGGTCAGAGGGCTGGAATACCCCTCTTGTGAGGAAATACTGAGAGCTGCAGTTGTTCAGCCTGGAGAAGAGACGGCTCTGGGGAGACCTTATTTGTGGCCTTTCAGTACTTAAAGGGGGCTTATAAGAAAGACGGGGAGAAACTTTTTAGCAGGGCCTGCTGCAATAGGACAAGGGGTAATGATCTTAAACTAAAAGAGGGCAGATTTAACTAGATATAAGGAAGAAATTTTTTACGATGAGGGCAGTGAAACACTGGCACAGGCTGCCCAGGGAGGGGGGACAAGCCCCACCCCTGGAAACACTCAAGGGCAGGTTGGACTGGGCTCTGAGCAACCTGATCCAGCTAAAGATGTTCCTGCTCACTGCAGGGGGGTTGGACTAGATCACCTATGAAGGTCCCCTCCTATGAATTTGGATATACTGAAGTATTGAAGTATGCCTCCATGTACGATCTTACTGGCATTATTCTACAGTTATTGAGTAAAGAAAAAACCAAATAACACTGACATCAAAACTATTTGTATCTCTACTTAATGCCTACAATTTTCTTGCTAAAAATAGATTCAAAACCACAAGCAATATCCATTGATTCATATCCAATGTCGAACGCAGAAAACTACTACAGCTAACAGAAGTAACGGCAGTATTTCAGAAAAGCTGTAATAATTTAAAGAATTAAGAATATTCTTAAGAGAAGTACATAGGATCCTGTTGTTTATTCCACAAAGTTAAACGCCCTGTTAGGGTGAGTGTATATTTCTCTGAAGAAAGCATTTTTCAGTTTCCCTTCTAGAACCGAAATCTTGATGACAAACATCTTTCATGACTTTCAGAAAGATCATTATTTTAAGATAACAGAACAATCTTCTCAAACAGCAGGTATTATCCAGGAGGTGACTGAAATATCTATAGGTGGGAAAATAAGAACAATAACAATCTTGTCACACAGGACAAGAAGACATGGGCATGCACTAGCATCTATACAGCCCACATTTCCAACTTTTGGGAATATCATGTATTGTTCTGCCTTTACCATTTGCACATACATACAGAACTAATAACATATCCAGTACGTCCATAAGTACTAATGTGGCCTGGCTTTTTTTAAAACATATTTCAAGTTGTGTATTAAGCAACAGCATTAAGTTTCTATTCTTTTAGAAAGGTTCATGTATTAATTTTTCTCCTAACATCCAAAAACCAGTTTGATTCTTCCAGTGGTATTGATATTTTCTGAATGTTTCATTGTGGTTTTTAGGTTTTGGGGGGGATTTTTGTTGGTTTTAAATTTCTGTGCTATTTAATCTCAATTTGGCTCATATCAGAAAATAAGTGGGAAAGAAGAAAAATATGTTTAATCATTACAAGTGTAGTAGTGCAAAGATGCATCTTTCTTTAATCTATTTTTTAGAAGGTTTTGGTAAAATCACTTCTACCAAAACTCTTACTGGTGATAACAAAAAGCATAAGAACAGTGGAAAAAAACTAAAATGAAAACACACAATCCATTCTCATTATGCTCTGGACTAGTACTTACACACATTTTATCTATTGATTTCTATATAAATGATGAGATACAAACCCTTTTATGAAAATTATTAGATTCTCAACAATTTCAGGGGGCTTTAGAGCAGATCCTAAGTGTCTAGGTGCAGAAAGACGACATTATAAGAAAACTCAAAGTAATAACTATGGTGCTTTCAACGTAACCTGTAAGGGGTTCTAGTTAACGCAGGGAGAGTTACACACGTTTCACTCTACGCTGGTGATCAAAGGTTTACTGCCATCTAGTGACAGTTCTGTGGCTTTACGAAAAGCAGTTACTACAGCCCAAATCACTGCTGGCGAATAAGCCCTTCACTTGAACTGCCTCAAATGGCATCAGTTTTGGAAAACTCAGAGAAAAGCCCAAGCGTGGATGGGGAGAATCTAAATATCTCATTAGATCTCCTCTCAAGATCAGAGCTGGTTTAGCATATTTCAAGTTTCTAGCAATGCGGAAACTTGGTGTTCCTGGATTTTCTTAATTAGACTCGCATGTCAAGAACTTTCATGAAGCATCTTTCAAAGTGTTAGAGGGCTTTTTAAAATGCTAGTATGATGGAAAACTGTCAATAACAAGCTATCTATATTTGTTAGAAATGGGATTTGTTGTCAATGACCTTCTTCTTAAATACACTGCATGTTATAGATGGTCCAGTTCCTGATACTGCACATTCAGTCTGGGAACTGAAAGGCAAACTGATGCCTTTATGGCTAAAAAAGCATCATCGGCAGTTAAAGATTTGAAGCATAAGACTAAAAGGGACCACTAAGGCAATCAAATAAAACCTTTTGCAGTCACAGGCGATTAAAAGTTCTTTCACGTACGGACCAATATCTATCTCGGATGCATGTCTCCTTTTATTATTTTTATGAAGAAGCTTTTCAGAACCTTATCGCTCCGTTCGCTAGAGAACAATTAGTTTCTGCAGATAGCATTTAGTAGATTTATACTGGATGCACAAGCCCAGAGTGTAATTCATTCTTCCTCAAACATATAAACACTGCAGAAGTATTTTTTAATTTAAAAAAAAACAACCCTCATTTGAGAAAACTGAGGTAATAATTAAGGATACAACACTTTAACTTCTCTCATCTCTACAGCACGCTAAAATTAAAGACATTTATACAGCAAGCACGGAGCAAGAACTTCACTGTCCGATTTTATCAAACGTGACATCTTAAGAATGACTGACTGCACACAGGAACACTTCTCTGTTTGTCCACTAGCACATGGCATTGCAGTGACACTACTGGCTGGTTTCCAGGAATTTCTAAGCACTATCAGGCAAAACCATACTGATTTTGTCAAAAAACTATGGGGTACAAGGGAAAAATGGTACATGCAAATGTCCTTTCCTTTGGTTAATTGAATTCAAGATCGCAGTTTTTCTGCATTTGATTGTAGATCAATCTCCAATTAATACCACATTTCTACCCTATTTGTCTATTTTCCCAATGGACCAAAATACGTTGGCACTCTGATATGTTCATCTTCCCAACACAGGAAAAAAACCCAAAACATTGATACTCTGAAATGACAACCTTCCCATACAGAAAAAAATAATACTAAGAAGAAAAAGATAATGGGAGAAGAAATGTGTGTGCATGTACAATTTGGTATCAGGAAAGGAAACCAGGAGATAAAGAGCTAGAATAAAGATGTGAAAGGAAGATGGAAATATAGCAGACAAAAGTACTACCATGGAAGTATGAAGTTGCATTCTCACAAGAATGAATCAGTAATCCATTTTACAGACATCTTGCACTTAACTCGGTAAAAAGCTTTTTCTGTTTTCCAGAAACTTCACCAGGAACTGAGGGCACTCAGCACCCCTCAGTACATGCTCACTGCTCATTAGGGACCAGAACTACAGTCTGTTTTATGAAAAACAAACCAGTTGCTTTAAAATTAAAACAACTACTCTAACGATGAATATTTCTAGTTAAGATATTAAACAAAAGAACAGAGCTTGAAAGAAAAACTCATACCTAACAGGAGTCTGTGGAAGTATAAGATTAGGTTCCTCATCTGGATTGTTTTTCAGTGGTGTCCTCTCCAGCTGCGAGCTACAGAAATGGAAAATGAACTTATGAAGCACTAATGCAATTCAAAACAGAACATTTTCTACATACAGTTATTAATCTGCATAAAAAACTGTAGAACAGATTTTTAGAAGATCTAGACATCCAACCACTCCAGTTGTTAGAACAATGTAATTTAAATTCCTAAGCAGATCTACTTTGAGCAGGATGTTGGACTAGATGGCCTCCAAAGTTCTCTTCCAACTTCTTTTTTTTTCTATAATTTTTTTCTAGATTTCTATTTACAGCAACTTAATTTATATGTACAGCTGGTATTAGCTCCCTTTTTTATGCAATTTTAAACATATGTATTTTTCTAGCATAGTCACAGACTCACATTGTGACCTCACATTGGGTAAAGTTATGAAAATGTTGAATTGCCAGGAACCACTGGAATTTTAGAGTATGACTAAATGAATTCAAATACGTTTGTATTAATGAACAGCACCAGGGAATGTGCCTGCGCACTGCTACTCCACCGTTTATTCTGCTAAACCATCCATGGCATATTTCTGTCTCATGTAAACTACCATTCCCCAACAATTTGTGGGGACAGGTCAGAAGTCAGAATGGCCTGAGGACCACCCCCAGCAGGCAGCTTCCAAATGCCACCAGCCAGTTTTACGAAGGAGGAGCTGGACAGTGAGGACCCACGCCATTCCATGCCACCGGCCCCAGAGCTGTAACACCTCCTTGGGCATATCTGATGAACTAGCATGGCATGGCCTCAGCCTCCTCCTCCTCATGATTTGTCAGCTTCCCCTGGATGACAGGGCCTTGCCCAGAGTAAGAATTCACATAGAGCTTCCAAATCATTTTAGGTAGAGTCACAGTCATACGTTTTCTAATTATTTAAGCTATAACGTAAAGCAAGGCTGCGGTTGCCAGAAATATCGTGGTTGAACTACAAACCTAGGAGACCAACAAGATGCAGAGATCATAGAATCATTTAGCTCCATTTAGGACATGCAGCAGAGGGACAAAGGCAGAAATCAACACAAGTTCACATTTTCTATCATAAAATGAAAGCAGTAAATGGAAATATTACCGTGCTATGACATCAGGCTGTAGAGTTTCATCGTGATCCAGAAATAATCTGGCGTCTATATCTTTGTTGTTGAGATAAAGTTCATCATACTGTTTCGAGAGAACCTCAACCTCAAAGAACATTGAAAAAAACCTATTTTATAGGAACAAGTTTGACAATTTACTGGAGAATATAAGCTAGTTCTACCTCATGAATACAATGCTGAAATGTTAAGAGAATGACCTTGGAGCTCACAAAGTCACTTCTTACACAAAGAGCTGAAACATACCCAGAGGAAAATTATCATTCCCATGCGCAAAGATAATCTTTTAGAACTAAGAGAAAACAATACAAGATCATGAGACTTTTTTGAAGAAATGTAGGTCTTGACACAATAAAGAGCTAAAAATAGCTAGAGTGGGAGACACAGACCTGTAAATCAAGCTAGCATTTCCAGGCTTTTAAATCTTTCCTTCCAGAAAAAAAAAAGCATTTCTAAGAGGCGGAAATGTAGCATCAGTGTCCTTAGAACAGCTCCCAGACAATCCACTAGGTCCCTGTCTCTGCTGGTTTGGAAATGAAGGCCAAGACTCAAACTCAAACCCTCTTGTTCTGAGTGTAGGAAGAGTTTCCCCACTCAGTATCTGTGGTGGTGTAGTTTTTAAGAGACATATCTATTGCTACCAAAACACAGACCATTATTTCATATCCACATTGTTGTTGTTTTAAATTACTGCTAGAAGTTTCTTAGTTGATAAGATCCATATTGATATGACTTCATCTTGTATGGAAAAGTTTGTTCTTGTTTTTTTGTTTGTTTGGCGGGGGGGGGGGTGTAATTTGTTTAGTTTGGGGGGGGGTTTGTTGCTTTTTTTTTTTTTATTTTGAGTGACTAACTAGAAGTGGGAATTTTTTATCAGGGCCAGATATTAGCCTCAACTTCAAATCTGCTGCGGTGCTCCTGCAAAAGTAGGCCAGCACCTCAATTATCTGTTCCCTGAGCCCTTAAACATCCTAATTGATGCTGTGCTCTAGCAAACTCCTGCTACAAAAACAGACAACAGTGCATATGAACCCAAATTAATCCCCTCCCAGTTCCAAGAAAAAGCAAGCTGCAAATACCTCCTACACAGCTTTGCTCCTCATCCTCTTCTTTTACCTTTGCCAGATTAGTTTGCTCCAAAGTGACCTCATGGACTATTAAATCAAAGATTATCTTTAGAGTCCTATTATCGCTTTATTTGTTCCATTTTAAAAACTCATTCTCTTTTCATTTTTCATTATATTCCTAATGGCTGATGTGTTCTTTTTGTCTAAAATACTTCAGTATTTCATGAACTTCTAGAAACGTCAGATTCTCACTGCAAAAAAACAGCAGCTCAAACAAAACGGCCAGGCTAACTAGGAAGAAACCTTCAGCCAAAACTAAGAGTTCTGAATCAATCTACTCGTCAGTTCGTAAAGCCTGACCATCAAACACACAGTGAAGACAAATGAAATACCAACATTAAGCCTCAGAAGCTTTTCTTGTTTTGGAGACAACATTAAAATTTACTGAAAGCCCAGTGGTTTTTTATGAAAATGAAAGTCAATTTAAATGTCCCATATTACTAGCTATTGTACTGGATCTCAGCTATGATTGATGGTTAGTTGGATTACAGGTAAGAACTGACTACCTCTGAAAAATAGCTCTAACTTTCTGCTTTGTTTTACAACATCCCCTCAGGCACTAAAATTTCAGGAGCAAGGATTGTGTGACTGGATTTTTCTTCAAATGCATCATTTTATACAATTTTCACCAGCATAGTCTTAGACTGGTAATTTTGATACTATGCTTAAATTGACCAGCCTTGAATGAGAACCCTTATTGACTTGAGAATAAGCTGTATAATGACCTTTGCCTAGAAGTTCATACAGAGCTTCCCAGCTACACATACCTATAAATTAAAAAGTCTAAACAGACTGCTGATACCCTGAAATTCATTTTGAAAGAGATCAGGATCTTCAGTGAGTTTTGTATTTTGTCGCCCACCCAACAGACTATGAAACTGAATGGAACATGTACTTGACTGAATCTTGCAGACCTTCAGTCTGATAAGCTTCAGAGCTGCTTATTTTCAGGCTACCGCATCTATTGGTGACATACAGCTAAACATTGTTCTTTTAAGAACAATGGATGTATACACATTGCAATAAGTTACCTACTAAGGTGTGCTCTTGCATGCAATGGTATAGAGGTAGTCTGCTGCATCCAGGCTACAGCTCAGTAAGATGAAAGTAATTCTGCACAGAAACAGCAGTACAAACTCTGCCAGTTGTGAAACTGAGCCTAATCTTTTTGATAATTTCTCCAACATGACTTCAGTGACATGTCTCAATTATATTTAAATTAAGCTGTGTAATTTAAGACTGTATGCATTTATAGACTGACTTCAGAGACCTGATATGGTAAAAGCTGCATTTTAGATTAATGGCCTCACCAAGATCATGGATATGCGGCTCTTATGCCATGTTTTGCTTTGACCAAAAGCACTGGTTCAGCCTCAGGAAATTAATTTATTAAATTCAAATGTAAAAGCTAAATACACTTCACGAATACTGGAATCCCTGCTAAGCCACATTCCTGAAAAACAATGCATTTCGCTAGATGATTTTAGAACTTATTAGAACTTCATCAATGTGAAAAGAGAATCTTAAGTAATTTAGCATTAAGTAAAGCACTGTTGTTGAACTGTCTTAAATTACCTCCGGTAGTCCATTTGAAGCTACAATACCAATAGAATTCAAGAATGGAATAAAGCTTGTGAAATACACATTTTTCACCTAAAAAAAGAAAAAAACCGTAACATTAGTGATATACAGAGGTAGCCAGGCATACACTGCTTTCATATATTTAACAAGAAACTAAATACGACACTTCCGTAATGCACTTCCTTTTGTTTTCAATAAAGCAAAAATAAAATTGCCTACATATCCATGTGTAAGCATGCAGCACATAATCCATTACTAGAACATTAAATGACTAAATTGGGAAAGAACTGCACTCTTCCCAGCCCTCTCGTATTTCTACTTCCACCATCTGCTTGGATATTAAAAAAAAAAAATCAGTCCTTTTTACGCAGGAATAGATTTATCAGCAAAGGAAAGGAAAACAGGGTCTTTAAGATGCCACACAGAAGCAATGTGCTTGTTATGTACATTTTCTCACCGTGGGATGCAGCTCTGAAACCCCACCAGAACAGCCTCACGTCCACACACTAGATGCTGTGATCAGCATACAACTTTGTACTGCATTCTTCACAGTTCAGTTTCCCTAGTGAAGTTATCAGCCATACCAAAGGGCTTGGTTTTTGTTGTTTTCTTAAACTACCTACTAGTCAAACTATAGAATAGTAGAATACCTTCATTACTGAACTTGATGGAATAGTTAAGCAAGCACAACTATTGAGATCTAAAAAGATCATTTAAATAAATGCATATTCTGGATGGGGTTTAGTAGCAAGATACAACAGACTTTAAAACACAGGCATTACCTCATCTAAATTACAATCATGCTCTTTACAAAGGACTTCGATAACTTTTGTGTCAGTATCAATTTGCTTTGAAGTGCGTGTATTCCTACTCTGACCTCTTCTTGGAGTTCGAGCTGAACCATTAACAGTCACTGCAGTCACAGCAGACTCTGCAAAGACAGAAGCACCACAAGGTTAGAGTCTTCTTAAGAAAGAAGAGATTTAAATTTTTAAACCTAGAAATTTAAGTTTTCATATGATTTTTCAGATCCTCTTCTTAAATATTACCCTCTTCATCTCTTCAGCTAGGTAAAAAAAAACAGGCAGGCCCTCAGCAGCTTTGAGTCAGCCAGGGCAGCTGACCTCAGTTAGCTACAGGTGTGGCCCATACCATAACGTCATGCTCATTATAAAGGGGGAAGGTTTGCAGAGGCAAAGGAGCTCCTGTGGGGTTCCTGCTGTTCTTCCTCTGGTTTCTGCCTGCTCCTGATGACTACTCTCTGGTTGGATGTAATGACTGGATATTCATTTGGCTGAGTATAACTCTGTTGGTATTGGTGTTACCTTACTAAAATCTGTTCTTGCTTCTACCTACTCTCCGTTTTCCTGATTCTTCTCCCTGGCTGGTGAGGGGTCATCAGGTGGGAGAGTGACTTACAGCTTAACCCTGGGTATAGGCTAAACATAGACAACAGGAAACATATACAAGAAGAAAGCTAATTTTTAAATTCCTGTACCAGTATTTGGACATGTAGCTTTTAAAAAGCTATTCAACACAGAATGTAATAGCACTTTCTGCAAGTAGCTTTGAATATGCATCTGTTTTGCAAAGCTAGGAAAGCCTTATCTCTTCAAAGACGAATGACTTTTCTGTAAAAATAGAAAAAAAAAAGTGTAAAACAACAAGCTGAAAAGAGTAACTTCACTCTTTGTGTCTGAAGTTTAATAAAGTCAATGCAGGACTTAAGTGGAATATGGTTCTGCAGGGAATTCCTCCTTTCCCCAAACACCCCCAGGCATACAAGTAGGAACAAACAAGTTCACTTTGAAGAAGATATCAAAACCCCTTAATTCAGTGAGGCAAAAATATTTCATTTTATTAAGCTCAAAGTAGATGTCTTCAATATTATCAGCTTGAAATATGTGAATTATACTAATAACATATGTTAATATCATTAAATATTGTTGGTTTAAAACTGACACTTTAATCAGCATGCTGTTCTCATCTGTAACTTCATTTGTATTTGATAACTGTTCTGAGAAAATCTGATACGCTACACTGCTCGGGTGGTTGCATCTTAATCCCCTCAGCCTTAATCAGATCATAAAGCTTGACATCATTTAGCACAATGTGAAGCCTCTTGGTCACGAGGATTAGAACAATACATTGTGCTATTTGCTAAAAGAATGAAGTGCTGTTTGGCAGTTTACACAGCACCTGCATATATCACGTGGCTTCAACTCAGAAATCTAATGCTTTACAGTCATGACAGTGATACCCGTATTTGCAATTTAGTCTGAAATGGCAGTGTTTCTTTTCAAGACAGAATGAACAGAATGAAACTGCTTCTAATAATGAGCTCCTAGTCTTCATAGTTTCACTAAAAAAAATAAATCAGTGTGAATACAGAGCTCACAAAGAGGTAGTTTCAATCCAATGTTTTTTGAAAAAGAACTGCTTTACAACATCTGAAATAAGCAGCAGCATATATCTGTCTTACTATGAAGGACAAATTTAAACTCAAAATAGTACTGGAGTAGGTCAGGAGTTTGCTTGCCACAAGCCCATCCTTTCCCACCCTTTATTTGTATTGGCTTTAGAATAAAAGTGAGGTTATTTGTTCTTACCTGCAACAAATAACTACTAGATCAGATCAGTATCTTCCAAAATGTGGAATTTAAAGAATATAGCCATGAATACATCATCTGTTCTATGACATTATACCCTAAGTGGATATTTAGTTGGGGTTGTTCAGCCTGGAGAAGGGAAGACTCTGGGGACACCTTATAAGCGGCCTTCCAGCACCTGAGGGGGGCCTACAGGAAAGCTGGGGAGGGACTGTTTACAGGGGCACATAGCAACAGGATGAGGGGCAATGGCTTTAAACTAGAAACAGGTAGATTTAGACTGGATTATTAGGAAGAAGTTCTTTACCATAAGGGTGGTAAAGCACTGGCACAGGCTGTCCAGAGAGGTGGTGGAGGCCCCATCCCTGGAGACATTCAAGATCAGGCCTGGTGGGGCTCTGAGCAACCTGATCTAGGTAAAGATGTCCCTGCTCACTGCAGGGGGGTTGGACTAGATGGCCTTTGGGGGTCCCTTCCATCCCAATGCATTCTATGAAATAAAGCAAGTAGATTTAGGCTATGAACACCAGTGTCACATCCAAACCCAGCAGAGGATAAACTAATTAGGATTTTTTTTTTTTTTACATATTGTGGCTCCAAATACTTCATTATATCAATTCCATAGCTCACAGAAGAAAATATTCAACAAAATCTTTGAAAATTACCAAAATGCCTTGCTTTCTGTGCCTTTTTAGTGAGTATTTCCAGGTTTTAGGTAAAAAACACAAATGTACAAAAAGTTACTGCTGAACATAAGTTTCTATAGTGAAGACCCATTATATTTTTACTTAAAATAGAGACACTTGCCAATAACAAAGGCAATGTAATAAGAGCAAAATTATCTAAATTTTATCTTTACTATTTTATTTTGAGCTCCCACTGCAATTAGGTTTTCTATCCATCGTGTATTTCTTTTAAATGTCTGTATAGTCCAGTATCTTGTATATTCTGTTATCACCATACTGTTGTATGTCAATGAAATAACGGAGACATAGCATCATCTTTTCCTTTTGTAACTCAAAGCAAACCTAAACAATAGCGCTCAGTCACCATCTACCCAGAACCTGAATTCTTTTACCAAAGTAAAACTGCTGTTTTAACAAGCCCCTGAACAACTTGTATAGGCAGAGGACACAGCAAATGGCTGGTAGGGAAAAAAAAAATTCTATTAAATACACTGCCACATTCAGTTAATTTAATTCAAGTTCACTATCATCTAAATTGAACTAAACCACCAAAAAATCCATTCTAATAAGCTTAAGAAGGTTTATTATGTTAATTATGAATGTTAGCATGACTCTAATAGAAATTTAAACCAATTTACTTTCTACTTCAGCGAATAAAAAACTAAGAGCCTTACTGTATGGTTCCTTGAGCATAGCAGGAGGTGACAGTTTGATAAAATAATCTAAGACACACAGCAACAACTGGAAAGAAATCACCAGGTCATCTTCCACTTGCAACACTTTACCTGCAATCATTTAAAAAGGTAAAGAAAACCTTTGTGAGACGTTTGACTTAATTTTAGAAATAATTTTGAAAAAATAAAGATTTGGAAGTTCATTTAATGAAACACTACAATTAGAACTCAGAAAGTATCATACAGGATGCCAGTGTTTCTTAAAGGCTATTGCTTTTAAAACTCCCGGTTCTTAAGAGGTTTGTTCCTTTAAAGATAGCGTACATATAATTAAATTCACTGTCCACAAAATTCCTCTCAGTGCTCCTTTCCGAATTCTTTTTCATTTTACTATAGTGGAGTAACTAACTGTGTAGACTATTTTACCTACGTGTACCTTTTATTTCTGTGCAATTCTTCCTCACTTTCTTTTTTGTGGTCTTATGCAAGCTTTGTGAAAGCTGCTAAGTATTCAGAAAACACGAGCTGCTAGTATATAGTGAAGAGAAACTCAAAACATGCGAACACGCCGTATGCTCAGACTGTCAGATTTATATGACATGACTTAAAAGACACACAATATTAGCACTAAGAGCACTTTTTAAATTACATTATTGCAGCTGTTCCCACACTATGATTCACATGCCAGAGAAGATCTACAGGGCCATTCCAAGATGGCGGGCATCTCCACAAAATATTTGGGGAAAGTCGATAGTGATTCAGAACAGCTACAGATCACTATGTGCTCTATTTACACATGCAATTTTTGTATTTATTTTCTATCAGAATTAGCAAGCATCACCCAGGCTGTCCTGTGACTTCAACTACTTGCTGATGAATTTTAGCTTTCCTTATTCTCAGTGAAATGCAGGCTAGAAAAACTTTGTGGGTTTTGCTTTATGCTTATGCTTGGAGAATTCTAGTGAAAAAGTTCCATGAAGTTCAGCTGATCCAAGACTGATTTCGATAGCAGAGAGGTGTACACTTCACTGATAACACAGACCTGGAGTGAGCAGCAATTAAGACAGGTGATTCACTCCTTTTTGTAGGAGTAGTACAATGAGACGGGACTCCATGGACTATCATAATTATTTCATCACTCAGCTTTAACTGGAACTTCTGCCTTTTCAAGGAAGAATCATAGCATTCACAGGACATCATTTCAGGGACTTATTATCTTATTATAATAGTATTATCTTATAATTATATCTTATTATTAAATTTCTTTTATTTATATATTTTGTATATATTTAATGTATATATTTATAATATGTATAAACCTATCTAAAAATGGTGCCAGTCTTTTCAGGTAATCATCCACTATTAAAATATCGGCAGACTACAAAGCCCTGAGAATAGATTCACAAACACAACACCAACCTTTAAAGTAAAAAAATCTTAGAAAGCTTAAATATATATATATTTATATACAGGAAGCAATACCAGTGAAAAGAATAGCCAAATTGCATAAAAAGAAATATTACTGAGTAGTTACAAAAGCCACACAATCAAAACATTCTGGGTCTGTACTATGTATATTTTTGATAAGGATGCTAGTTTCTTACTAGACATGTAAAACAAAACCATAAACTCGCTTCAACAATAATCATTAAAATAACTGTCTTTTAATCAAAATTCACCTTTTGCCAGCAAAAAAGTAATCCAGTAATTTTTTAGGACTAATACAGAACGGAGTTCAGCAGAAATCCTGTAGAGACACAAAAATAAAGACTTTTCATTAACAGCTCTGTAATAACTTAAACTATAATTTCTGAAAACATGCTTCAGTCTATTGAACAATTTAAGACAACATGCAATATTTCCCATATAGTTAAGTTTATTAATTATCTCATTCCATTCCCATATAATTATGACTACACATGTGACAAAATTAAGTCTCTGTAAAGCCATTCAAGAATCGGGAAATATCTGTATCATCCTTGGAAAAGAAAGTGAATGTAGATAATTCACTTAACTGTTACAAACTGTTTCCTCTATTGTGCCTTTGACTAATGCCCTATTCTCCAGTCACAGCATGAACTCAAGATCATTTGGGAGTTGCTAAGGCATCTTTTCATCTACTCATTTGTTGCTACGATAGGAAGCTCACTCCCCAAATGTTCCTTTCCACCATGCCAAGACACCCACTATTGGGTGGCAACCCTTCATGGAGGAAGTGATCATTTGATCACTGCAGCTCTCATCATCTCACTGAAATTCAAAGTCCCCACTAAATCTAAATTAAACATATGATATACTATGACTTAGGTCAATCTTAATGGGTTAAAAGATAAAATGCTGACATGTTTTACATCTTATCTTGACAAACACAATTTAGGAAAGTCAAACTTACTCACTACTAGGTTGTTCCAGATAAATAAGGCCACAAGTCCTAGAAAATAAAAATAAATTTTATTTTAAACACTCTTCTGAAAGCAAACTATGCAGTATCTTTGACTTCAATGTAGCAAAAAATATATCAGTTCACAAAACATGATTCTAACTTTAAAAACACGCTGACACTTAGAGAACAGATTAACAACAGACCAACTACAGCCCTGCCAAAGCCGAAATAACGCCGTTGCTTACGTGCTTATGTCAAATCTTAAACAGCAAACCCACTTTAATTTGGTATAATAAAAGCTGTTATTGTATTCTTCCATAAAGACAAGATTTGTATGTACATTGTTACACAGTTGCTTGTAACACATAGCAAAGTATAGAATCATTAGGTTGGAATAGACCTCTAAGATCATCAAGTCCAACCGTTGATCTAATAACACCATGCCCACTAAACCATGTCCCAAAGTGCCACATCTGCACATTTTTTTAACATCTTCAGGGATGGTGACTCCACTGCTTCCCTGAACAGCCTGTTCCAACGGTTGACTACTCTTTCAGATTTTTCCTAATGTCCAATCTAAACCTCCTCTGGCGCAACCTGAGGCCATTTCCTCTCATCCTATTGCTTCTCACTTGGGACAAGAGACAGACCTCCACCTCAGTAAAACCTCCTTTCAGGTAGCTGTACAGAGCGATGAGGTCTCCCCTCAGCCTCCTCCAGCCTAAACAATCCCAGTTCCCTCAGCTGCTCCCCATAAGACCTGTTCTCCAGACCCCTCACCAGCTTCGTTGCCCTTCTCTGGACATGCTTCAGCACCTCAACGTCTGTCTTGTAGTGAGGGGCCCAAAACCGCACACAGTACTCAAAGTGCGGCCCCACCAGTGCCAAGTACAGGGGCACAATCACTTCCCTACTCCTGCTGGCCACACTCTGATACAGGCCAGGAAACATGTGCTACAGCTACTCAGAACACTATAAAACGGCATTTTAAAATCTTTACTATTTCTGCAGTGTCACCACAAGCCTTGTGGTGTAATGTTGCTTCCTAATTATTCTGGGTACATGTCATTTCAAGAAATAAATTCCGTTTATTCAAAAACAAAACAGGAAAAAAAATTGTTACTGCAATGCAAGTTTCAGAAAAGTAAGCAAGTGAAGAAGAGTTAGAGGAGGGACAAAACCTGAAATATGCCTGTGTAAATCTGCAATGACACTTTTATATCCCAGACAAAACTCACAATTAGTAAAAACAAATAATTTACAACTTTCATAGAACTTCATAGCTTTAAGGCAACTATAAACTTCACAAAAATATTGACATACACATTACCCAGGATAACGGTAAGTGTGATTGATTGGACTTTGAAAAGACAAATAAAACTTACATCACATTTATGCCTTGATTCTATAAACTACCAAAGGGTGACCTGCTACCTCTTTCAAAGGTCATTTAAGGGATATTTGAAAGCCTTTTGTGGTTTGGGAGGCAAAACTGTAGTCACAGTGACTCAAGATTCCTGTAGGTGAAAAATACCACAGTGTTCTGAAGCAACAGTATCAAATAATACAAGCATCATAGAATGACGCTTCAACATTTAATAACATGAAACAGTTTTCTACTGGTATATGCTACAGAGAATTTCACAGACCGACTACAAACTGCCTCAGAGGATCACAGAATCACAGAATTGTAGGGGTTAGAAGGGACCTCAAAAGATCATCTTGTCCAACCCCCCTGCCAAAGCAGGACCAGCTAGAACAGGTCACACAGGAACGTGTGGTGGGTTTTGAATGTCTCCAGAGAAGGGGACTCCACAATCTCTCTGGGCGGCCTGTTCCAGATCTTGACAATATGCACCTGTGTTAGCACATATTAGCCTGTAAAAGGATCTAAGGACTTTATCATCTCTGTCTTCATATTAAAGCACAAAATGCAGCAACTTACCACCTTGGAATAACAGCAACTCAAAAAAACCATCCATTTGAGAATCTCCCGAGTTTCAAGTTACACACAGAAAGCTCTTAGCACTCTGCCATAAGCACATTCAATTTTTCTGTACAAAGAGAATGCCCCTTGATTTTCATTGCACTGTCAGCGAAACCACTTGGGAAGGTTTACCTTGATTACATGGGAGAACTGCCAATAGAGCAGGCTCTGCAACACCCCTAGATGCTATAACAAACAGGCTTCAGTTCCAGATCTGGGAGAGACAAACTATCTTATTTGTGCTTTTTTCATTCCAGAGCTCCTTAGAAAGAAACTCTTGGATCACGATTTGGGGAGGGGTGGGCAGGTAGAAACGGAAAGTTCATTCAACAAAACAATATTAGATAACAAAACAATCCTCTTTACAAATGTAAAAAGCGTAACGAAGGGACCAGCAATCACTTGTCATGCTACTCTTACTATTGTTTGTACTGCAATAAGGGGACTGTTGAACAAAGCCTTGTAGTAGTTACGGAGTAAAATATGTGTTTATTCAATGCATGTAAACAGTTCCATTTCACTGTTCTGTAAATATTAGCGCACAGAGTTTAATTGGGCTCTTCTACTACACAGTTTGAAAAATCTATATACTTAAGTGTTTATAGCCATAAAGAATTCATCATTCCAAAATGAAAACACATAATACCTTTCAAACTTGTGGTATAGTGCAAGTAATACATCATATTTCTTTTTCAGCCTTGATACAGTGCTATCAACTTTAGTGCTTACAGTATCCATGTTAACATCCACCTCTTTCAGAAACTGAAAAAATGTGCATACACTGCAAAAAAAGGAAAAAGATGACAGATTATCATAATTCTGAGAATGAGTATTCTGAAATAGCTCTTAAAAAAAAAACCAACCCCACCAAAACCCATTGTCTTACTTCAGACTCCAGCATATTCTTACTACAACTAGCAATGACTGAGAACCTTGCCTTGGGAAACACTACTTGTTTACCTTGAGCCCCACCTTTACATTTTCCAGATGCAGGAATACTGTTCAACAAGGTAGCAGAGGCATCTCACAGTATGGGCTTTACTACAAAAAGAGAATTTTCTTGGCTAGCACAGATGTTATCTTTGGAAGTCAGAATTTGCAAACTAGATGCATCTTTCTTCCTTGCTCAGTAAAAGCACAGATACCCAACACAGACATCTTGACCCTTCTGTTCTTCCTAGAAGTTCTACTTTAGAAATGCTCTTAACTACTCTAAGAATACCAACCTTGGCTCCATCCATGCTAAAGACCTAGGAACAAAAACTGAAATGAACGCATCGAATTACATGGAATTTTGTCTTGCAACAGCGGCAAGGACATCCCCACCCTTTGGAAATACTGTTACACAGGGGACCAAAGTTTTCCCTATTCATCCATGTAATGTTATGCCCATCAAGAAAGCATCTTGTTATGTTCATAACCAAAATAACAGACTGCAAAAAATTAATGAGGATGAAGCTATCAAATCTATTCAACTATTCCAACTATACCAAATATATTTTATTCCTTTATCAGAATATAGTATTCTGAGAGATTTTTTGATCTTTGTTAGATTAAAAACCAGAATATAAAACCAATCAGAAGCTCATTTAGGAATTCTTTTACCATGGAACGAAAAATTTTTCCAATATATCTGTGGGGCTCTAGAGGATAAGATGACTGGTAGAAATCTCTGCCAGTTTGACCCTGTAGCTGACAAAAAGCCCAGGGCTAACAAGCAACTGAGTATTGCTAAGATCAAAAACAGCAGAGTAATAGCTTACTCTTTGAAACCCTAAGGGAAAAAGTCTCTTTCAGTTTGCAGCACAAGTTGGTCTGTACTCAGGTGGAACATGCTGAACGTCACTGCACAAATGCAATTAGATTTCACCCACACGGTTCCAAGTCAGTCAAGACTGAAGAGATTAAGTCGAAACATAAGACGTGACTGCTGCTCCTGAAGATGATGCAAGGTAGAAGAGGGATAGAGAAGTCTAATCACAACAGATGACTTCCAGGAAAAGGATACTCTGGCGCATGTCTGGGGCTACCACCATGACACGCCCAGCGTTCTGCCTTAGCCTCCTGCCCTAAAGCATCAAAAGGCTCTGCTCCTGCACGTGCTTGCGACACACGGCACAGATATTAGGCAGACAGCACTGGAATTCTTGTCTTCAATGAATCTAACACAAGGTATGCCTACTGCTGTTGCCACCTACACTTACCTCAAAAGCATATATTGTCCTACAATCTTAATTTCTGTATTACGAACTCAGTGAATAGACAATGTATCAGTAACAATCCCCTAGCAAAAAAAAACCCAACATGTACAAAAGTACAAAATTTAGACTGGCATTAAAGTGTTTCAAGAAGAGCAGCATGTTGGCAAACAATTTGAAGAGTAACATTTTTTTCCACTTTTTGCTTTAGCCTAAGCCTAATGGCAGAAAAAAGGTTTTATAGAAAATCTTGATACAGGAAAAGGAAGGAAAATATTTTAAGGGTAATTTACAACAAGTTAAACTGATGAAGACTTTAGGTTAAGCAAGAACAAGAATCAGCTGTGTGATACAATCAAAGCCAATCACAGTTGAATCAAACAACTATCACTGCTCCCTCAACTAAAATATGATGGCAAGACTCCTAGTTTACCAAAATACTCAGAATTCCTGTAAGTAACCTTCACTTTAAAATCAATTAGCCTGATACGCACAAAGATTCACAATGCTTTAAATACATTCTCTTTATAAAAACTTTGACTAGTTAATTGTTGAAATCTAAATTCACACACTTAAATTCACTTACCTTATGCTTATACTTTTCAGAAGCTCTGTGAAAGTGAATGTCATTTCATCCAGATCAATTGCTACAATAAAGATGCAAACTCCCCATGTTTCCTTTTTCTTTTTGTTATAAGCCTTTTAGAAAAAGAGAAAATAGTTTTTATTTTTATTATGCAATAGAGGTGGGTAATATATGGAAAGCATTACTTTGGCCAAACTAGATTATAAATGGCAAAACAGAACACTCAAGCAAACATTTGACTATGATAGGCAATTATTTGATAACTGAAAACCATTACAAGTTTTACATTACAGATGAAAGACTGTCCTGGGTTACAGTGTAAAATGT